CCAAAGCGTATACCCGAAATGCGCGTGCGGGATCTAATTCGCGCAAGTCCTCCAAGAGAGCGATACTCGAATCTACCTACCAGTCGCACCGAATGCCACCGCTTTGGGGAGGGCAAGGGAAGAAGGAAGCGCGACCAGACAATAGACACATACGGCAAGACATCATGCTACTAGCATCTTGTGCCCAAGGTGTCTGTTGGCCCCTGCTGCATGGGGTCATTGGAGGATCTGACATGTCTGTGGGCCACCTGCTCACAAGCCGATTTCTCTGTCGATGCGCCTATTGCAATGGCCACTGACCGTGACGGTCCCACACCCTCCAAGAGATCCCGAAACAAGACACCCCGACGGCAGAATTTGTTGGCCAAGCTGCGGTGTTAGCTTTCTCATGTTCTGGAGCGTCCAAGAAGCTCGCTTCAGTAGGGTTTCAAGAAAGCCTTGGGGAGCCCAATTTTTTTTGAGAACGCAACATAAACATGTCCCCGAGATGCCGCTAAGACGGCCCCAAGACGGCCCGAAAGGGTCGAAGAGGGCCCCAAATACCGTCCAAGAGGCCTCCAGGACGACCAGGAGGCCCCAGGGACAGCCCAAGAGAACCCCGAGACGGCCCAAGAGCGCCCCAAAAAGAAACGAAGAAGGCCCCAAGATGCCTCCGAGACCGCCCAACTGAGGGCTCCGAGAGGGTCTCAACAGGGCTCCAAGTACGTAAAGCGGCCGTGTGGGATCGTCGGGCCTGCGTAAGAAGCGCACACCCTATACCCCTATACATGGACGCTGTCTGAGCGTGCCTGAACGATTCCAGAGCGGTCTTTTGAGGTATTGTCGTTTTCGGCATGCCCCAAACAAGTTTGGAGCGGAGGTGTCTCCAAAAGAAGCCAGTCGGCGGCGACGACAAGGGCGAATAATTAGCCCCTGGGGCCGGCAGTACACACTTTCGCCTGGGAGCCTCGCCGAAGACATGGGCCATCGGCGCCCTGGACACGGGGATTGCTCTCACCTGGGCTATTCGTAGAAATCCAAAAAGCCACCCCGATAAGAACCACACCGACACGCGAAAGTCGTTTAGTAAACGCGCCCAAGGAAGGAATCGAACAGGACAAGGTCTGTTTAGCAAACGCCCAAGGCCGTTTGATAAACGCCAATTGTCCAGTCCAGGTGATTTTTTCCTCCTTTGAATTCGCCCCGATCGCCGCCTCCGTTCCGAGAAGCCCCCGCGCCCCGCGCAGAAGGCTCGCGCCAGAGGTGCCCACCCGCGCGTCCTGGATCCAATCGGCGTAGTCGTCGGGCGGCCGGCCGTCCAGCTCCGCCTCGGCGCGCGGAGGCGCCGCGGGCCACGTCTTCGCAAGACTCTTCTGCGGGGCACGGACGCACGGGTCGGGAATCCCTCCTCCTCCTCCTCCTCCTCCTCCTCCTCCTCCTCCGCCTCCTCCTCGTCCTCCGCCTTGTCCTCCCCTTCCTCCCTCCCCTCCTCCTCGTCCTCCTCCTTCTCCTCCTCCTCCTCCTCCTCCTCCTCCTCCTCAGAGTCTCGGCGCTGACAGAGTGACTCCGTACCTCGTGCGGAAGGAGGAAACGGCGCCAACAAGCGAGTCCGGGCGCTCGTTTTCTGGCACCACCCTGGGACGTCGCCTGGCAGCGTTGCGGCACGTCGGTGCTGCGCTTCAGCGTTCTCATGGCATCCATGTACTCGTTCCCCTTGCGCTGGCACGTCCCAAGTGCATGAACATCCCTGGGGCTCTTGAAGTTAACGTGTCGCGGCGACACGCTCTGCCCTGCGAAAGGATAGCCTCGGCGGGGCGGGAGGCTCGGCAAGGCTGGGGGCGCTGACGCCTGGGGACCGCCACGTGGACAGCGCATCGCGCCGAGGCGTGGTGGGGCAGAGCCCGCGGAGCCCAAAGCTGCCCCAGAGTTCCGCACCGCAGTACTGCGCGTCCCTCACAAGGGGGCGCACGGCCGAATCGAACACGCAGCACACGCATCTTGCAATAGATCGCTATCCACGAGGAGTGCAGTCACAAAATGACACACACACACACACACATCGAAATGCACGCGTCGTTCCGAACGCGCCCTTTCCGCCCGTGCCGGGGCCGACGCGCACACAATAAAAGTATCTGTGCCTGTGTGGGGCTCTCCTGGGGGCCAGCTCTTTTTGCATCCGCAACTCTGTGTGAAGGGATCATCCAGAGCTCCGGTGCTCAGCGGCAGGCCTCGAGACTGGCGACAGACACGAGGCAGCAGCCTGAACAGTCTGAAAATGCTCGAGCTGAATGGAATGGGAACGAAGTGCGGGCGGGAGGCTTGAGCATGTGATGCCCACGGCCCCCACCGAATCTCTACGCAGCCAAAAATTATATGGCACGCCATGGAAATATGTGCCTGTGTGGGGCTCTCCTGGGGGCCAGCTCCTTTTGCATCCGCAACTCTGTGTGAAGGCGATCACCCGGAGCTCCGGTGCTCAGCGGCAGGCCTCGAAACTGGCGACAGACACGAGGCAGTTGCCCGAACAGTCCAAAACTAAAACAAGCTCGAGCTACGTCGAAATTGGGAAGTCTGGCCTAACAGACCACCAGTCTGCTCAGGCTAAGGAACGAATGGTTTCTCAGAGCCTGCTGATAACACTTGAACACGAGGCGGCATAGCCCCATGGGGCATGCTTCGGCGATGTGGGTCCAGAAAATACCTAACTCATTTTTCCTTCAAGGACCTGATGAGGGCGGCCACTGAACGAGCACAGGCCACGACCAGAACATTTACAGGGCAAGAGGGCACTGAGGTCGAGGTGACAGGCTAGCAGCCTGGTGCGTTTGCGCCAGGGCGCGCCGAAGGCGCAGAAATCGATGTCCAAGTCTTGAGTGTTACGAATGCGCAAAATGCTCAAAGCACCTGGCAGCTGCCACAGCCAAGAGGCGCTCGGATTCTCAATCACCACGGGAATATTCAGGCTGCGCGCCAGCAAGAATAGCGAAAAACTGAAGGTGGCCAAAGTGCTTCCTCGCTCGACCTTGAGTTGATCGTTGGGCGAGAGGGGGGGCAAGCCAAGAGGGTACTGCCGAGTGCGCAGAGGAGGCGGGCCGTTTGGCCGATTGCGCGCGCGGCTCATGGGATTGCAGGGCGTGGCGATCCAAATCCCGATGATGAGGCGGCCACGCACCGATCCTCGAACCAGACGGCGGACACGACGAAGTAACAGGTTACTGCACGCGTCGTGGCTGATGTCCAGCTCGAAGGCGGCATGCTGCGCCTTGAAGAGCAGGCGCAAAGCTGACGACATCCTCCCTGGGCCGCTGAACACCTCCAGGGCGACCCCGGACTTGGAGCGCTTCACCCACGCTGCCAGCTGGCTGACAGGGCGGCGCCAATCCTGGTGAACGACTGCTCGGCCCTGAGCTGCAGAGCCCGAGGCAGTCGGTGGATCTGCTCCTGCACGCGGCCGCCCTTGGCGTACCGACGCAGCGCAGCGTCGGTTGCCCAGCGGCCACGCTTCTGGATGTCCTTCAGCGGGCGGGCAGCGGCGTACAGCTCGTGGCTGGCTCCTCCGCGTCGAAGGTGATGCAAGGTCAGACTGCTTGGGCATCCCAGGCCGAGGCTGTGCACGGTGGCCTTGAAGTGGTCGTTCCACTGCGCGTAGGTCACGGGGAAGAGGCGGTGCCCGGCAGGTGTCCGGCGGCGCAGCTCCGCGATGAGGTCGGGTAGCCACGGGAAGCACGCCGAGTCCACCAGCAAGCTCTCGTCGAACGCACCTGTCTTGGACGGGATCTGCCGCTCGAACATGTGGAGAACGACGCACCAGTAGTGCATGTTGGTGGCGGTGGTCAGCCCGGGGGGAAGGAGCTGCGACTGCGCCTGGTCCAGGGCCTCCCGGGGCCTCAGGTACAGGGCGAATGTCAGGGCCGTGAGCCACGCGTAGGCGAGCAGGCCGCGGGTGCACATCGTCTCCACGATGAATGAGGCACACCACGGGCCACGGCAGCGGCAGCCGTGACCGGGCGGGGGCCAAGCGAGACCAGCCCTTGGCAGCACGCGCTGCGCGAGGCAGACGGCCCTGCCGAGTCCCCAGGTCGGCGCGGCTGAACGCCAGCGCCGCCATGAGCTCCCAGGCGTCGCTGCTCCCGCCCCCGCCCAGGAACTCCTCGTGGAAGAACTGCGCCAGGGCCTGGTCCACCTCTGCCGCGCTCGCGAGCTTGAGGCTGCGCTGTGCTGCCCACTGGGTGAACGCCTGCTGACGACGCTCGTAGTCGGCCCGCGTCGGCGCCGACGCCGACTGCTCCTCCAGGAAGGTCCAGACCTGGTGGGGGGCCGAGCTCGGTAAAGAGGGGAAGCGCACTGTCCTCTCGCGCCGGCGTGCCGCCCGGCGGTCGCTCTCGGCCGGGGGTGGCGTCGTCGGACCGGAGCGGCGAGCGCTGGCCTTCGGCTGGGCGGCCGGGCGCTCGCGCGCCCGCTGGGGCGGGGCGCTGCTCGCCAGGCAGCCCAGGGCCGACAGGGCCAGGGGCGCTGCCATCGCCAGGAGGGGCAGCCTCTCCGCGCGCACGAACAGCTCCGGAGACGTCACCAGCCTGATCACGTGAGGACGGGTCGGCGCTGTTGTGCTCGGAAGGAAGCCACCGCCAGACCGCGGAGCACCCAGAAACCAGGAGTAGAGCACACACCTGGCGACATATCCTCAGAAGCGGGGGCGAAGAGGACCTGCCCTTGAGCAAAGATAGCACCGGTGCCATCGAGCCGTTTAAGATGATGTGGGTCGCGTTGAAGTTTCGGGGGGCTCTGAGACGGTGTTTCAGACAGAGTACTAACGGCCTTTCCTTCAATGCCACCTGCGCTTCCCTCCTGCTCCAAGGTGTAGATAAAACGCGATGCCGCCCCACGGCCCGCGCGTTCTCTGGAACATCCTCGAACGTAGCCCCCTCCTCATCCTGGCCCGGGTCGAGCTCGGGCCGGAACGGGGCCTGCTGCTCCAGGGCTGTTGCGACGGCTGCTGGCTCACGACCATGTTGGGACGACGCTCGCCTCGAACATGATGAAGTGATGCTTTTGGCTTGCTTGCTTTCCTGGGCCAGGGCCTGGTCTCGAGGGGCAACCTGCTGCCCCCTATCTCGGGAGAACCTCCGCCGCTTGTTGAAGGTGGACAGGCGATGAGCCTGAGACGGAGCAAGGGTCTTCTCAGTGACTCCAGCGCCCCCGCGAGGCGCCCGCGCATGAAACAATGGGCGACAGCGGGCGCCCGGCGTCGCGGAAGCACAGGGGCAGCAACGAGCGGCGCCACTGCAGCTCCCGTCTTACAGCCGGAGGCAGACGCCGTCGCTCACGAGCGCCCTCGCCCATGAAGCCGCTGACGGTACTCAAGCAGCTCAGCGGCTCGCGGCGGATCAGCGCCCTCGACGCGAAGTGCGAGATCACCTTCGCCACGGCGTGGCCACTGCACCCGCCTCGCGCGAGGAGTTCGCCGACGACCCAGCCAGAGGCGCCACCGCGGCCGCGCGCTGAGGCCGATCACGGGCCTGTCCTGGTCGAAATGCCAGCCCAACGCGTCGCCGCCCACCGAGGCCCCCACTGGGTGCGCGGGGAGAGACGAGGCCGTCATCTCATCCTTCACGCGAGTGGCAGCGGCCCGGGCGTCCTCGAGGCGCGCCGTGGGACAGCGCGATGAAGTTGTCCACGCACACCGCGCGCGCCATCTCCTCGCCGAGCGACGGGGCAAACCGGCGATCCACCAGGCGACAGCCAAAATGGCCAGGAAGGGCCCAGGCGGTCGCCGCCTCGTTCAAGGTCTGGCAGATCCACAGGCTGATGCCACCCAAAACGACGCCTTGACGGGAGTCCCGTCGACCAGCTGTGATAGCCCCGCGTTTCCAGCTCGAAGTCGGGGCAAGCCGAAGAAGCGCCGGAGCCGTTGAATCACCTCGATCTGGTAGAAAGCGTCCGAGATGTCGACCCCGCCGATGCCGACGGGCACGTCGCCGTCGACGGAGATCGGCCGCGCCGGTCGCATCTCCACTGCGCCCGCAGGGGCGAAGCGGAGGGGGGCGTGGCGGCCGACGAGGATCGCGCGCAGCGACCCGTTCTTCTTCTTCTTCTTCTTCTTCTTTGCGAAAATCAGGCCGACGCAACACTCGGCCGAGCCGTTGAAGTCCACGAGCCCGGCAGCTTGCATCTCCCGCACCACCTTCGCGTAGCGGCGCGGGTTGCGGAGGGCAGGGTCGGCGTGGAGTCGCCGCGGCCCAGCCTCCTTGATACGTTCCATCCCCAACTGTCGGGGTACAAACAACTCTTTAAGACGATGAGCGATGTCCTGGCCTGCCACCTCGTCGACGTCGGCCAGAGCTGTCGGCGGGCTGCCTGCAGGGGGCAAGGAGATGGAGTCGACAAGGTCGAAGCTCACCGGTGCAACCATCGTGGCGCCACCCTCGCATGACTGCGCAATCCGGAGCTCCTCGAGGGCCCCTGGGCCGTCCAAGTCCTCCGGGCAGGGGCCGAACCTGACAGCGGCCTGCCTCAGCTCCGAGAGGACCTGAGCGCGGCCAGCCGACGGCGCAGATGAGCAAACAGACGCCTGACCGCGGCCTGCAGCAGGGCAGCCCCGCAAGTCGTTCAGCGCGTCGGTCATTTCGCTGACCGTGCCGTCGATGTGGTTCCGCTTCTCCAAGCGTCTCCGGACTGACCGCGGAGGCGGGTGAGAGGACTGCGATAGCAGAGGCCCAGCGCCCCGAGGAGGTAAAGGCAAGAGGTCACTTCGGCGATGCTGGGCGCTGGGAAGAGGAGCCTCATGCACAGAAGTGATGCTGCAGCCGCGAGGCCCACGGCTGCCCCCCCTCTCTCGGCCTGGCCGACGCACGGGCGAGGGGATCCCGCGCGCCGGTCGCACTGCTCATGATGATAGAGCACGACGCTCTTCACTGGTCTTCCTGATCTGCTTCAGGATCACTGCGTCGCGCTCCACTTGCTTGGAGACGTGCTCCAACGGTGTCGGGCATATCATAGAGCGGCCATCCTCCTGTGCCGCTCCAGTGAACGCCGCCGCCTCGTCCACGATACCGACCTTGTGTAGGCCAGCTCCACGCCCACGACCCTTCTTGTTCTTGTCTTTGCCGTCGCCATCGGCCAGGGCAGCACCACCTGAGCCTCTGGCTTGCTGGGCCTCGAACCCCATGGAGTAGATGCACTCGTACAGCTGCGCCTGCCTCATGGCCAGCTCCACCCCGACGAGGTCGGGGAGGTTGAGCTTGTCCCAGCACCCGAGGTGCTCCAGCATCCTCATGATGTTCTCGTAGCGGCTGACACCGTAGTCGTCTTTGTTGAGGCGGTAGAAGGCAATGAAAGCATTGAAGTGCTCCACCGGCCCTCCTCGCTCCCAATCGATGAACTGGCAACACCATAGCACGGTGCGTGGTCCGTCAAGCAGCCACCCCGAAACATTGTTCTCCACCAGCATTGGCACCACCTCGCGCCATGCAAGACGCGCCCGCGTGCCGTCAGCTCGAGGAGGCACTCCGAACAGCCTGATGTCCGCACCACTTTCTGCGCACTTGTAGATCATCGGTGAGACCGTGATCTGCCTGATCGCCACCCAGCCAACGCAAACGCGCATGAGGCTGAGGTCGCCCTCGAGCTTCTCCGAGCCGTTGAGCACCACGACGTCCCCGCGATCTCCGGCGCTGGTGGTCTCCATCAAAAGCCAGACGGGCCCAGGCGGCACGGCGGCGGGAACCGCTGCAGCCCCGACCACCGGCGGGGGCCCCCCCGCGGGCGCTCCAACGAGCGCGGCCGCTGCAGGACCCGCAGGGACAGCCATTCCGGCCAGAGCGGCGGCCGGGGGGGCGGCTGCGGCAGCCGGCGCGCCAACCGCGGCGGGGGCCCCCACCACGAAGTCGAACTCCAAGTAGGCGCCGCCGGGCGGCACCACCAGGGGCCGGCCAGCCACGCGCTCGCGGTCCAAGAAGACCGCCTCGGCCACCTGGTCGAGCGCGCCCCTGATCGCCTGCGTCTCCTGGGCGTTGGGCTCGCGCCGGAAACGGTACAGCTACAGCGGATCCAACCCCTGGAGCGCCTGCCGAGTCCGACTGAACACCACTGCCACGATGTCCGGAACGCTGGGCGTGTAGCACTCCTCGTGCACGTCGTGGTCTGGGCTCGAGATCAGGACGCTGAGAGGGTCAGTGATTCCCACTGGAGGACTCGCCAGCCTGCCCCAGACTCGCCGCTGATGCCACAGCGGCTCGCCTCGGTACAGCACCCACGCCCAAGGCAGGACGCCGGCGGGGGCCGCCACCGTGTTCGCCATATCGGCGACGGGCCAAGGCCCACAGCGTGCTCAGGAAGCTCCTCCCGAACTGCAGGCCCAGCAGCGTCACGTGGCACAGCAGCAGCGGCGCCCAGCTCCAGCCCGCCACGGCGAGCTCCACCGGCGTCGGCGCCGGTGCCGAAGCCGGAGGCGTCTCCGGCGGCGGGGGCGGCTCGGGGGCCGCGGTAGGCGGCGGCGCAGGCTGCACCGCCGGGCAGGTCAAAGGGTCCGACCCCCGGCAGTGCACCTGTCCGCACGGGAGGTTGGGGCACGCCACCGCCGGGCAGGTGGGAGCCGCTGGGCAAGGCGGCGCCGGTGGGCACGGCGGCGCCCGCGCGATCCAGGCCGCCAGCAGGTTCGACGCCGAGCCGAGGAGGGCGAGGACAGTGGCTCGGCCAACCATCCGCCCCACCTGAGCAAACGTCCCAGCTTGCTGGGAAAAAGGCTTGAGCATGTGAGGCCCACGGCCCCCACCCGATCTCTACACAGCAAAGAATATATGGCACGCCATGGCAATGCTTGGGCCATGCCGACTCTACGGCCTGGAACCCTTGCTTAGCGTGTCGCGGCGGCGGCCCCAGCGACACGCGTAGCGACCAGCAGGAGAATGGCGTGTCACGCCGCTCCGCGGGGCGGGAGGCCAGGAAAGGCGCGGGGCGTTGGCGTTCGGGGACCGGGACTCGGTCCGCGTGTCGCGCCGAAGGGTGCCAGGCCAGAACCGGCGGCGCGACACCCTGATCCAGAGGTCCTGACCGTAACCCGTCCAACCAATATCCCTCTCCCGTCGTCCTTCCATGTCTTTGAGCTTTAGTCTGTCTTTGTCATCCTTGACGCGCTCGCATCTTCATCCTCCAACCTTCCCCGCTCCTTGCTCCCAACCATCAGGTCATGTAGTGATCTTCCTTCTTGACCCCGCTCCAAACATGTCTCTCCGACCTCCGTATCAGGGTCGCCCAAGCGTCCCTCGCCCAAATGCTGATTGGCCTGGCCCATTGGTGAGCATGCATACCGACCTTTTTGCTCGCATTCTTGTACCCGTGCACCCTGCTTCTCCTCACGCGCACGTAGAGGGCCCCGAACCCACCCGAATCCACAAGGTTCTCCAACAACTCCGTAATGAAGGGGTGCCGCTGGGCGCAAACACGATAGGGGGCAAGTAGAAGGAGAAGCAAGAGGTATTATTCTGGCCTCCGTGGGGATAATGGGACGTCTTTTTTCCCCACACGAAAGGTAGGGGTCGTTAGTTTATGAACAGACCTCCTGACCTGCCCACCCTGCATACCGCGGCCACCAGATCCCCAGGTTCACCGAGAATCCCCGATACACCCGTCCCTTCCGACCCGACCGTCATATACCATATCATACCAAAACGTTTCTAACAGTACCATTACACAGCGCGACGTAACATACAATGAGATAGCCTGACATATCATAACATGCACATGCATACCGCCACCCAGCAATCCATATAATAGCACCACAAGACACACCACCTACACTGTCGTACGATAACACATAATTCGATGACAGACCGGCACATACGAGGGTATACCATTCACGTACCAGAAGACTTGTACCAACTGCCACAACGGCGCCGAACGTAATCTCACAGTTTAGACGATTATAGGTCGAAGGAGAATGGCATGGCAACACATAGCACAACAGCATATAATCAACAAGACACAACGCAACCCACATACCATAACACACGTGTTGTAATACGTCTACCATCACTGCGGCGAACCTGATGGTACATCAAAGAGTGTGATATAAAGCAAGAGGCATGACACAAACTGGGAAGTTCACAACACAACAGTTCGAACACACCACAGCGCAACCTAACATATCAGAACATCGCATAATATAATATGGCACCAGAGAAAAGCCTCAATCATAATATTTCTAGGGCTATTGGGCGATGGGGTTATAGAACTATAGGACCATAGGGCTCTACGTGTACAGGGCTATAGTGCTATAGGCATAGACTGCTATAGGGATATGGGGCTATAGGCCTATGAAGCTGTACGACTATAGGGCTATGAGGGCTATAGGTGTATAGGGCTATAGGGCCATAGGGCTATAGGGCTATAGCGCTGTAAGGCTACCAGGGTATGGGGCTATACGGCTGTTAAGGCTGTTAGGGCTATAGGGCTGTAGGGCCATACGGCTGTAGGGCTATAGGAATATAGGGCTACAAGGCTATAAGGACATAGGGCAATAGGGCTATGAGGGCCATAAGGCTATAGGTCTATAGGGCGACTGGGCTATGGGGCTATAGGGCCATAGGGCTATAAAGGCTGTTGGGCTATAGGGCCATTCGAGCTATAGGGCTATAGGGTTGTAGGGCTATAGGCCGATAGGGCTTTAGGGTTATAGGGCTGTAGGGCCATAGGGCTATAGGGCGATAGGGCTTTAAGGCTATAGGGCTATAGGGCGACTGGGCTATGGGGCTGTAGGGCTATACGGCTATGCGGTCATCAAACTATGGGGCTATAGGGCTGTTAGGGCTGTTAGGGCTATCGGGCTATAGGGCTATAAGGGCTATACGGCTATAGGGATAGTTTGCTATAAGGCCATACGGCTATAGGGCTATAAGGGCTATAAGGCTATAGGGCTATAGGGCGACTGGGCTATGGGGCTACATGGCCATAGGGCTGTCAGGCTGTTGGGCTATAGGGCTATTCGAGCTGTAGGGCTATAGGCAGATAGGGCTTTAGGCCGATAGGGCTTTAGGGTTATAGGGCTGTAGGGCTATAGGGATATAGGCCAATAGTGCTATAGGGCTATAAGGCTTTAGGGCTATAGGGCTGTTGGGATATAGGGCTATAGGGCTATTAGGGCTTTAGGGCAATCGGGATATAGGGCTATAGGGCTATAGGGCTATAGGGCTATAGGGCTGTAAAGCTATAAGGCTATAGGGCTATACGGCTATAGGGCTACTGGGCACCACGGCACCCAAACGTGCCGCCGAAATCGGCGCCGCACCTCACCTAACCATATGAATCCGCTAGGACCCCTACAGAGGCAAACTCTGATTGGGCAATAATAGCACCACGTAACATAACAGTTCATATGATGCCACAGCCGGGCAGACCATTCTATATTTCAACCTGACAAAGTGACCCACCACTAAACAAAAGCATCATGGCACAATCGAGCGTCCACTGATATCCGCCACCGCGCTTGCAGCGGTTGCCGTGCGCCAGGCCCTCTCGCCCCTTGCGAAGCGATCAGTAGGCCACCGCGACGCATCGAGCCCAAAATTCGTTCTTCTGTGTGGCCAGTTCCCTGCGTTTGTGGCCTTCCAGGCAGAAAACATGCTACCGAATACATCGCCGTGACGAAAGTTTCTTTCAATTTGCCTTTTGGAATGACGCGCTCGTGCGGAATAGTTCGGGATAGTTTTACTAAAACTACTCCGCGCGCAATCGCATCCCGCTCGATAAATTGTATGGTTTGGCGCGGAGTAGTTTCCGATACCGTTTTGGGGTAACAGAGTTATTAACGTCTCCGGGATCGGAAACTACTCCGCCGAATGGCCCCACATGTCATGTTAGGAATCTGGAGAGGCATGGGAGAGATCTTCATCATAGCAACTTGAAGAAACGTTTGTCACGGCTGTGTACAAGGTCCGCGGAGGGGTGGGTCTATGGCCCCTCCCCCCTCTCCCCCCCAAGGCGCCCCCCCCCAATCCGCCCCCCGCCCGAGCGAGGTGGCGGGATCGCGCGGCAGCGCAACTGGATGACCTAACGCGACGTGCGCGCCGAGGTCAGGCTGGCCCCAGGGAACAACAGGCGCAACAACGACAGATTTGTTGACGTGTCTAACGTGACAGGGGTCACGACGTCACGCTCGCCATCGAGAGCAAGTCATACAGTATAGCATACCTGAGCATAATGGAATAGTACCTAATTGAATCCTGTTGGCCACAGGACAGTTCACTGGCGCCTCTTCAAGCGCAGCTTCCACGCAAACATGAGGCTGGCCACAGGACAACAAAATGCACAGCAAATACCGACTAGACGACAAAACAAGCGTGACGGGCGTCAATACGTCACGCCGCCCCGTCGGGAGCAGCGCCAGCATGCACAGCGGCACCATGCAGGCATCGGGCCGCATCAGACCAATGCAACATCGGAACCGAGCCGGATCGAAGCAGACAGAATCGAGGTCGAACCGGCCCGATCGGCTCGAGACGGACCCCCCGAAGCATGAATTTGAAAAGCACCCGCACGTGGGCACCTGCTGGGGTGCTGCGGGTGCGGCCCCGGAGCACTGGAGCACCAGGAAGTGGGGCCCGAGCCCGAATCTGGCTCGATCGTGTTACAGGGCTTCCTGCTACCCTCGTCAAAACTAACCTCAAAAATGGCGACGACGCCCCTGCGATGTCGGCGCGCCGCGCCCTTCAATGTCGATAGACGCCCCTCCAATGTCGGGGCCGGGGCAAAAGTGGCCTGACTAGGAACGACTCGGAAGTTCGATGTTGACCAACATTGGAGGGGCGGCGCATACAAGTACCTCGCAGTCACCGCTACTCTGTCCAGAACCTCCCCACAAACAGTTCAGCCCTATAAGACATTGTTGAGGTTAATTTTGACGAGGGTTGTGATGGCAGCATATGATAGATCCGCGATGCTCAGAGATCAATTCTCCACATGATTCCCTGCGTGGCCTCCGTCTATGTCTGCTCGATTCTCCACATGGCCTCCACGCCCCGAGCCCTGGCCGAGAGGCCTCGGTCCATCGGACGGGGTCCGACAAGACCAGCGCTGCCACCGTCTCGCGCAGCTGCTGCGCGCGGTCCGTGGCACCGCCCTCCAGCGCGTAGGCGACGGCGTTGAAGAGGCAAGAGTTGTCTGCGGAGATCGGAAACCCTGAGATCCAGGCGCTGCAATATGTTTACACTGGGCGACTTCGCCAGGCCCCGAGACCAACACAGATCAACCCGGCGCGAAAAATGCAGCACGGAGACGGGGTCCAGGGTTTCGGTCGCAATGTGTATTGATGTTGCAATGTTTTCGCAACGTCGGATCTCAAGGAGGGCCGGGGAGCAAGAGGGCGATGCCAAGCACCCTCCCGTGACGGCCCGTGCTGCCGCGACCGCGCTGATGGGCGCCTGCCGGCGCTGGGGCCAGAAAGAGGCGGCCCCTCACGTGACGGCCCCCGTCGCCTCCTCCAAATGGCGGTCGGCTGGCAGGGCGGGGGTCCCCTCTGGAAAAGGATGTGGCCCAGCGGGGCCAACTTGCGAGAGAGCGGCAGTGGACCAAGAGAGAAAAAGAGAGGTGTGCTGACCGCGTGGTGGGCTCATAAAAACGACTAATGCGGTCCTTGATGCCCTGGGTCCACCAGGCTGTGGAGGCCAACCACTCGTCGCTCAGCCGCTCACTCGCGTTTCGTCGAAGTTGGGGCTTTGGATGGAGCGGCTGATGCGGTCGAAGCGCTGTCAGGAACCCTACATGAGGACAGAAGACTCATTCCCCATAAGTTACACTGCAGCTTATAAAAAAAAACCTTAGGACCACCTGAAACAAACTGGGCCGTAAAACACTTAGGAACACTGAACCTCTCCCCAACGGAAGAAAAAAAGGATCCTTCTTCAGCGGCCCGACCGTAATTCTAGCGATCGCCCGACCATTTTTTTATTCTGGGGCCCGTGGGCGCGCAGGACAGAGACGCCAACCTGTGCTCATACTTTTTCCAGACGCGATCAGATGAAAAACTCTGCTGCGAAGCGCGGCGGTTTTCGATGGGCCCTCTCCTAGAGCGCGCCCCGTCCCAGCGTACCAGCGGACACGGCCAGGGAACTCTCTAGCCTGACACTGGACCAGCGACTCGTTCAAAAACCAAGACGCTCTGCCCCCCAACGAAAGGATGTAGCCCGGCTTGGTGGCTAGGCGTGCAAACTTCAGCGCCGAACCTTCCTCGCGCTGCTCACAGTCTCGGACGCCCCGAGCCTCGCACGTGCCTCATTTGCGGATTTCCAGCAGCCTTATCATAACCAGTTTGGCCACGAGGTGGCGACAGGAGCAGCAGCAGCAGCAGCAGCAGCAGCAAATGGACCAGCGGCAAAAGCACGCAACTAAAACAAATACTGAACTGGCGAAACATGGCGAGAGCACCTGTGGGAACACCAGAAGCGGCAACGCTGAAAACAGCGCCAGGCACATGTTGGGAGCCAGGAGAAACGGCGGACCATGCCATCACAATCTGTTCATCTGGGGAAGATTGCCCTACTGGGTGGCCCGCGCTGCCGCGCCCCCTCTGCCTCTCTCGGCTGACGTCGGAACGCGGAACCCGCGCGGCAAGCGTCAGACCGCGACCCGCGGAGGCGCCAGCGGTGCGGCGGCGAGATCGGCAGCCTCGGGGTCGCGGCACTCGCCGGCCACCTCGGCCTGGGGGGGCGCTGTTCTCACAGTCGATTGGGGGGCGCCGTGCTCTCGCCCTCCGCCAGGACAGCCCGCGGCATCCGATCCGAATCCTCCTCGCGTAGCCATCTACTCGTGGTGCTCCCGTCTCTGGGCGCCCGCGCACGCCCGAACGCCCGGTCGACCTGGGCTGGGCGCTCTGCGTGGCCATAAGGCGCTCAATGAACGGCCGCGCTGCGCCCTTCGGGAAGGGCCGGGGGGGCCGCTCGGCATCCTGCGCGTCGCCCGGCCAGAGTCTCGTGAAGATCTCGGAAAAGTGGCCGGTGCCCGTGAGGGCGAAGCTCGGAGCGCGCAGGGGGGTCGCCTCTGGCGCCGCCGGCCTCCGCGGCCCTCATCGCGATCAAGGTCGCGTCCAGCTAATGGGGGCTGATCAGGGGGCCCATCAACAGCAGCGCGATGACCGCGCGGCGGAGGCCACTGCGCAAGCGCCCCGCAGCTCGCGCGATTCGCCGGGCAGGAGGCGCCGGGGGAATGCGCGACGTCGCCAGGGATCTCGCCCACGGGGATCTCCATGGCAGCCCGAGCTTCGTCGTCCACTTGATCCGCGGAGACGACCAGCACGTCGCGGGCCGATGGCAACTCGGCGCTCGTCGTCATGCTCTGCGCCACATTCAGGATTCCCGGGGCGACTGCGCGGAAGTGCTGCGCGCCGACTAGACCTTCGCCCGCAGAGACGGACAGCGCGGCGTCGCCAAGGAGCTTCTGGAAGGCGTCGGCCGCGCGCAAGGGGCATGTCGCGCTCGTGCAGCGAGCACTTCGCCATGTCGACGCATGACCCGTCTCGGATGGAGGAACGAAGTCTCGCCTGCGCGCCGCGGCCGGATCAGCGCGCGCGAAGTGAGGTGCGCAACGACGTGGTCCACCCTTCCGTTGACCATGTCGACAAGCGTGCTCATCTCTTCTACGTTGTCGATGTCGACGCGCACCTTCGTGCCCTGCTTCATCAGCAAATGCTTCATCAACCTCACCTGGGCCGCCGTTCAAACCTTGCGGTGGTAGAGGAACATCTGGAACCGCTCCGCGAAGAAAAAATACATCGCCACCATGTGGACCGAGGGCCCTGCTGCCAGGCCATCGAACGCCACGCATATGATCGCGCCCAGAATCCTGACCCCCGCGTCTTCAAGTGCGATTCCGGACAGCATGGGACCACACACCAACAGGATGAACCAACGCTCGTTGGACGCGCCGTCCAAAACATTGCAGCGGAGATTGCGCCAAGGCCTCATGTGTTGCTGAGCATTAGTAATGCTGCAGAGGTTCAGGCGCACCACCTCCGCCAGACAGGCAACGCGTTTATGGCCCGCGGGGGCGACGGGGACCAGCCCGAGCAAAAACCTCCGAGTGAGCAGCACCGCGCCGCACAAGCATGACGATGGCGCGAATGTGCTGAGCAAGAACAGATACCCCCTCGTTTTTATCGCGGCAGTCTTCTGAGGCGACGCCATCCAGCTGGGCCAGTTCCACGCGGCGCAGCGGCAAATGGGCAGGAAGGGCAAACGAACGAGAAAGAAACCAATTACGCCGAAGGCCAAAAACCACTCGTAGTGGGTGTCATCCATGATGAGATTCGCCCAGGGGCTCTCGACGGACTGCCCGCCGCCCCCAAGATGGTCGCCGCTGGTCGTGGGGGCGCAACTGGACGGCGTTATCGGAATGGAAAATGCGTGGGACAACGTTCTTACTGCATTCGTGAACTCCGGGGTAATGTTTACGTCGCGTTGAACCGTGGGTCACTGACCCAGGAGGGTTACGTGCAACACTGGAATGAGACCGCGTGCCGCGAGCTGGTGAACAATGCAATTGACGGGGCCGCCCCCATTCCAGACGCAGGCTGTCCTCGGCGGGGTGAACCCGAAACTGAAGAGACGGGCAAATATGAGCATCGCCTGCGCTGGCAGGTAAAAAAAAAAACGAAATTGACATCTGCGCCGCGAGGATTTGCACCCTGGAGAACATCGTCCCACCATGGGCCACGACTGCGATATTCGAGCGCGTCGTGCTAACAATGTTCATGTTGGCCGCAATCGCGATAGCGGCCACGCCCGTGACGACCGCGACGAAGGCGACGATAATGAGAAAGACCACGCGCGCGGTTGTGTCGCCAGACTTGCAATCGCGGCACTCCCCGCCGTCGACCAGGCAAGCGCCGGGCACGCGCCCCCCGCGGGCGACCTTTTTCTGGGGTCTGGCCCGGGAGGCAGTTGGCGGGAGCTCCCCGGCGGCGCCACTTCTCAATGGCGCAGCGGTAGATTGCGAAGGGGCCCGACGTCCGAGACGCGCTGCCCGCCTCCGCCACGGGGCACTCGCCGCTGCCGGCCAGAGACGCCCCAGGGAGGTGCCGCGCATCGCTGCCTGGCTCGCGGGCCCCGGGCGCGGCAGGCGCGCGCCGCCGCCCGGGCGGCCGCGCCCGCGCCCGCGCGTGCCCTCTGGACACGCGCGTGCACGTGCGATCCTCTGTCCGATCTCCACCGCGGCGAAGTGCGACTCGCAGGTCGCGCCCTCGCTGAGCCCACCCTCCTCGGCGAGAATCCCTCCGGGGCGCGCCGCGCTCTCCGCGTCGCCCCCGACGGAGGAAGATCCGAACTGGCAGGTCGCGCGCTGGCGGCTCTTTTCCTGCAGGTCCACGCGCGCGCCGCCAGGGCATGCCTCGCGCGAGGCTAAAAGCTCTGTCTTGTAAGTTCTGGCGGAAAAGGGCTCGCGCGAACCCGCGCGCCGCGGATCTCCTCGCAGCCGCGCGTGGATCTGAAAACGGGAACCCCCGTGGGAAGTAGCGGGCCCGCGCGCGGGAATGGTTAGAATATGCCGCGCGCTTGGCGGCGATGCGCGCGTCCTTCGAGGGCTCAGCACTGGCGATTATGAGCGGGCCGCTGTGCGCAATGAGCTCGGCGAGCTTCTGGCCAGCCACAAGATGAGCATAACCCTGCTTGCACTGCTGCTGGGCAATTCCTAACATCGCCCAACCACGATGCATCGCCCGAACGACGTCTGGGGGCAACTCGAAGGCGGCGAGGAAAAACTCGCTCTGGTTTCTCAAACGGCCGACGGCACTCGGGGGCGGATTGGAAATCGACGCGCCGCTGCAGAGTCGGGCGTCGATTGCCGGACCACCTTCGAAGAAGGAGATCACCTCTGCCATGATGTCGTCGGCATAACTGATGTCGATGCCCCAAAAGACCGGGGTCACCTACGCGACGTCCCCGCCAGCCGCGGCCATGGACTCCGCGGCGCCAGCGCGGCGCGCGCCCAGGGCGGAGTTGCTGGCCTCGTGGATGACGCATGGGAGCTCGGTGGCCCCGTCGTCGGTCATCTTCTGGCCCGACGGCTTCCCCGCCTCGGCCTCGCCCATGCCTGCGCGGTTGATGATCTGGCCGCCGTCGGGGCTCGCGCTTTCCGACTCGTTGCGGCCCGAGTTGGTTGTCACAGCTGTCTTCTTCGACGCGGCGCTGGCCACCTGACCGCGGGCGCGCGGGCCATGGGGGGGCGCGGACATGCCGGCAGCATTGGGGTCGTTCGCAGCCTCGACGATGGCCTTCGCGAAGAGCTCGTTGGCGAAGGCGGGGGCTCGCCAGATCCCGGCGGCTTGAAGAGGTCCATGTCGAAACTCTGGAGGCCGAGCTCCATTGCTGCCTGGTCTGCGCCGGCCTCCGCCATGAACCGGAATGCGCCCGCCTCGCGGCCGTGCGTCGCACCGCGGATCTTGCCGCTTCGGGCGACGAGCCAGTCCACCTTGCAGCCCCCTTCCTTTACTGCCAGCGTGCACTCGCCATCTGCGGCGACCTCTTCGCCAGAGCAGTCGATAATCTCTTCGTCGCCGACGCCCCAAGGACACTCGCAGACCGGGAAAACCTCGACGCTCTTGTCGGCGTCTGCATCCGAGGGCGCCTGCGACACAAACTTGTGCCCAGTGGGGTACAGGGACGGCGCAATGAGATGACCGATGGTAACAAACTGCGTCGAGATCATGACCAGCGAGTAACCTTGGAGCCATTCGTTCTGGTCGATCCCAAAGGTGATTCTTCGGGTTGGCGTGCCTCCGTAGACTGAGGCGTCTGCGTGGAAAGACCCTATCTTGACGTTTTGCGGGATCCCCGGCGGCCTCGAAAGCGTCGGAAGCGCCGAGAGCCGAGGCCGCGCGAGCAGGATGGCCAGCCCCGTCTCGTTGCTGTTGGCTGGGATCATGCCCGCCACCTTCGCCGCGGTGTCGTCTACGTCATCGCTTGTTGTCGTTTCCTCGCCAAGCCAAGCGAATCCCTTCTCCGCGCAGGCAGCCATGAAGCCCTCCCGGCGCTGGTCCAGCGCCGCATTGCCCACTTCGTGGTTGAGCACCATGGAAGCCGACATGTTCTACCGCTGGCCGCGCAGGCGGTCTGGGAATGATCCACCGACTCGCAGCTGCCCAAGTGCCCGCCCGTGGAAGAGTGGGTATTGCTGCCAAGCTGCAAGGAGTCATCGGCGCCAGAATTGGACGTAAGCACGTGGGTGGACTGCGCAGCGCTTTTGATCACGTCCCAAAGCGCATCGTTCGGAATGGTAGCAAGTAGCGCGTCTGGCTTGTCCCTGTTGACGCATTCGTTTATGCCCGTCTTCATGGCCTTGTCACTGAAACTCGATCCACCCATTAGGTGCTTGGCCGCAGAAGACATGGCACGCCGCACCCGCAACCAGAAACTGTCAGATCTTAGCCCGTGCACCACCGCCCTGATTACCACCGAGGGGCGGTCAATGCATGGATCGCATGGCAACTGCAGGATACGGAAGCTCGCGCCAGCCGAAGATGTCGAGTTCCTTGGGCAGGTCCAGCACCTCGACATTCCGACCAGGGGCTGGTAGCCCCCCTCGCTGCACACGTCTGAGGCTGCCGACTGGTGGTCCGTCGCCTCCATGACCTCGCCCGGCGCGCGCGATACGCACTCGCCATCTAAAAAGACCTGCCCAGCCGTCCACCTCCGACTTGTCGGTGCCGGAGTCGGAAGTGGAGTCGGCAGCAGCTGGAGATGGCGCCGCGGGGGGACGTGGGGGGCGGCCAGCGCCAGGAGGCCCGTTCGCCGCTGCAGTGCAGAGGCCGCCGAGCAAGGTGAGCGCGCAAAGCGGACTGAACATCGGACTGAACATGGTGGGGTCTTGCCGGGGAGGGACGTCACACAAACTGAGAGGCCGCAGAGGCTTAACGCTGAGTTGAGTTTGGGCGACAAGCGCTCGAGCTAAATGGGTACTGAGCAACCCGTGTTTGTCGAGAAGAGGTCTGCCCAAACGAGGCGCCAGAACCAGCAATGCAACAAGAAAACATTAGAACAATGAATCTTCCGGTGGAAATTCAAAACTCTCCGCTGGCGCACTCACGCTGCGCCCACGTTCGGAGGAACTGTCGGTATTTGCGGCATCTCACCCCCCCACCTGGAGAAGCCGAAATCTTGAACTTGTAGCTTGAACTGCGAAGCAGAGGTCGTGCCAGAACTGCAACACAAATGGCGTCGTCATACCCAACGTCGAGGGGAGACGGCAGAACGATAGGGAGGGACCGGCTCAGGGGGGAAACATTGAGTTGGAATCGCCGGTAGCTCGACGATAGATCGGCGACAGGCCCCCGATAGCGAAACCGAGCGTTCCTGAGGGCGGCGGGCTAATTGTCAGGCCCCGATCGGCGATGGTCGAGAGTCGATGTGCTCCCCCCTGAGCCTGCCCCTGAGACGTGCGCCTCTGCCCGGGGCCCGTCCTCCATGACCCCCAGGGCGATCGCAGCAGCGAACGAGCCCGCCCCCGAGGCCCTGGAGGGCCTGGGGGCGCGGGCGGGCAGTTCCGTCCCTGAGGCCCCCGCACGAGGCCCCAACGTGTGGACAAACATCATGACGGGAATCCTTCGATGGTCCTCGGCGGCTTTCCAGCCTCGGGGTGCGTGAAGGCTGCCTGCAGCAACTGCGCGTCGCCGAGAGCGTTCCCCGGGTGCTGGGATCGTCCCGAACGGCCGCCGGAGAGCCCCACCAGTACTCGAAAGCCAGACCTCCGACGCATTCCTGGGGTCCTATGACTGGGGATAGCTGGGATAACGTTCTGTCCGCGGCGACTGGGCTCCAAGCCGCGGTCGGAGCAGCGGGGGGGGCACCGGTGCCGATTGGGCACGACAGGATAAGGGGAGGGCCAGCGGAGGAGGGAGGGGAAGCTGCGGGCGGCGGAGCACGCGCAGGACATGAAATTCTTGTGCGTGCGCGCCAGAGCACAGGCACAGAGCTGAGAAAACAGCCCTCCCCATGGCCTCCGTTGGCGTGAGGCTTGGGGAGGGCGGGCGGGAGAGGCTTTGCCACCATTCTGGTATTCTGCGATATGGCAGAATTCCCTTGTTCTGGGCCTTCGAACCCTGGCCGCAGGAAAAACGTTTATTCCCCAGGAGGACAATCCCATATCATCTAGAGCCTCATGGGCAACTCGGCTGTTCCCGTGCTACGAAAATGCGGCACTAGTGAAAAACAAATACACAACGGATGAGACATAGCGTGGGGTCCCCTGACCCCGCCCGCTGCCCTCCCACCGTTTAGGAGCCAGGCTGCCTAGAGCCCACGCTTTTCCAACTCATCGAAGGGGTCCTGTGTCAGCATCGAGGTACCCCAATCCGACAGAAGCTGAGCGGTGCCACCTGTAGGTCACGCTTTGTCAACTGGCCCGAGAGAGCACTGCTTCGTGCGTCCCGATCACCTCGCTTCTCGCTTCGCGTCGCGCGAAGCGCGAGGCGCGGTTATATTCGCGCTCTAGCGCGGCCACCCTGGAGAAAGACATCCCTCTGGCACAGACCGCGAAGCGCGGTGATCTTCGCCCCCCCCCCCCCCCCCAAACAGGTGACACAACAGGGCGTCGCACGAACAGCTGCACGAGAACTTCGCCCCAAACCCGCCTGACATGGATCCCCATAACCCTCCGAGGGCCATCCTGGCCAGAGTTACAAGCTCTGCCCAGCAGCGACCAAGAGAACCATCGGGGACGCCCACATGCCCCCGGCGCGGCGATGTGCTTTCTCGCGTCCGTCCGCGGGTCCCAGACATCTCGGCCACCCTCCCCCAGGCCGATGGCTCGTCCCGTGGCTTATCGCGTCCCCGAAGCCATAAACCCTTGTAAATTACTTACTAGTTGCGACCTCGAGGCCACAAACCCTCGTAAATGACATGATGTTCGGGCCACCAAAACCATAAACCTTCGTAAACTACAATTGGCCCTCGCGTGAAGTCCACGTCAGCGCCCAGACATCCCAACACAGCTCTGGCAAGTCCCGCGCTAAGAGAGGGGGTGCCGGCGGCATGGGGGCGAAGCCCTTACGGATAATAATAAGAACATTATACGGTGTTGAATCGCAATAGCAACGATATGAGGAGACATATTAATACTACGAATCATAAAACAGCGAAGAAGGGGGGCCATGAATATGTGATGGCACAGGCCATGATAAACCTCCTTGATCATCACCCCCCTGTCAGCCGCCCCCGACCCTAGCTAGAGAAACGAATTCTTGCATCAATCTAACTTCTCCGAGGTCCGCGCGGATTTCTTGGCTCGGCGCTGGAACCCCCTTTCCCCATTGCTCGGAGTGCGCAAGGGGCGGCGCCAGAGACGCCGACAAGGGGGCCCACCGCCGATCCAAGAAATCCGCACGGAGTTCCAACAAATTATGTTCACACTCGGACCTGGGCCAACAGAACATCTCTCAAGAACATGAGACCCTCCGTCGGCCAGAACAAACAAAGCATCTAAGGGTACCCTCCCCAGCATGCACAAGAACGTCCAACAAACACGAAAAGCACCAGGGAACCCTCCCCGAGCCGACCTCGATCTTACGCCTCGGTCCGGCTGTCTGCAAATGTTGCTCTTCGACTGGCAAGCTCCGACCCTCGGCGCAGTGTTCCCCCGCAGAAAAATCGGCTACACGCAAGAATGTTTTGGGTAAAGAGTGGCCTTTGGTGCGCGGATCTTTGTTTGGCCACTGGGGAACCCCAGTGGGCCCGCACCAAAGATCACTCCTGCGAGAGATCACGCTTACGACGCTAAACAAGAAGAGGCACCATGACATCTGCAGCGATATCATGGCTCCCGCCATGATATCCCCCCCCCCCTCCCCCTCATCATCACCCCCCCTCTTGACCGCCCTCGACAGAAAAGGGTTCGAATGGTCCTGCCGGTATGACGCGGCGCACGATCCGCTCCTCGCCCCCGCCCGGCGGCGCTGCTGCCGGGGGGCTCGCGCCTCCCCTCTCATCCAAGGCAAGCCGCGGCGAGGGCGGAACCCCTGAGCGAGGGTGCCCTGGTTCCCTTGGTTCCCTTCATGACAGGAGGAAGCCACATTTACCTTGAACGTCTCTAAACCCCCCCAAAGGACGGTCGCTAACTATTTTTTGTCCGCGGCACCCGCCGTGAAACAACAACGACAACAACGAAACCTTTGTTCAAAGGAGGAGGAGGAGGAGGAGGAGGAGGGGGAGGAGGGGGAGGAGGAAGAGGAGGAGGAGCAGCAGCAGGAGGAGGATGAGGAGCAGGAGGAAAAGGAGGGGCCAATTTCAGGACAAATCCTGTTCACCGCCCCCCCAAAAAAGGGGGGGGCAACAACAGATCTCACTCGGCGAACAGGGCCTACGGAAGCGGAAAAGTGGGGTCACTGGGCGTGCGTACGTATAGTGTTCGCTGGCATCCTAAATGCCAATGTTGTTGAGCATTCCTGGCCGCGACTCTGGAATGATCGTGTAGGGCATGGTCGTGTCGGGTATGGTCCTTTGTGGTAGGCCTGCTACATTTTGAATCGGTGGTGTGAGTAAAACAACCAAGCGGGACACCTCCTCCTTGTGACTCTCTCGAAGGTGGACCCGAGCCCAAGAGGGGCGTGGCCCAAGATGGACAAGAAAGGGCCCCCAACCTGAACCTTCAGTGGTTGAGGCCGCTCGTGCTTTCGGGCCCCCATCGCTCCCCAGGGCCTTCAACCCTCCACGCACACATCCTCCTGTATGATCCGTTTTTCCCATCCGTGCACCAGATGTGTGTGTGTGTGTGTTCCATCCCGGATGACTTGTCGATGGTCCCGAAGCCCGACATCAGGCCCCTGCGCCGAAATCTAAGAAGAAACAATCATTTGCGAGCATCTGGCACTCAGAAGTCATCGCGCTCCTATGCGTACATAGTTCGCGTAATTCGCTCCACGGAAAAATTGTTTACAGCGCCGCTGGCACATCAAACCGCGCGAAAAAAAAAAGTTTCGCTAACGAGCAGTGATCATGCCAGCCGCGTTGCCACATCCCCATCGCGCGCCGAAAACACTGGATGGCTCACAAAAAACGCCGTTGCCGAGATAAACACAACGTTCAAGATTTCGCAACCATGGCATGTTGAGGCAGCACCGTCGCCAAACACTAGTCCGCGACAAGAAAGACATCGCCTTTAGCCGTCCCGATACGCACGCAACCCGCAACCCAACCCGTAGCGCATTGACATGGAGGTCGGCGCGTATATTGAACACGTCGGTCCTGCGCAATTCGTTCTTCAGAACGTGGCCAACGCGCGCCGGAACAACCCGCAACATGTTAACTCGGACGGTTCAATACTGGTACGTGCTGGGTTCCGACACGAACGCGCCGGGGCAACGACACTACGTCCCTCGGCGCCGAACTCCCCCCCGGGGGCAGGGCCTGCGCGGGCCTCCCGCCGGAAGCGGCCCGGCGGGCGCGCGCGGCCCCCTCTCCGCGCCCTTTCGCCCCCGCAACTGCGGATCGCTCCACGCCAGATGTGACGGATCCCCATTGGGCTCTTTTGCCCCGTGCATGGTGGACCAGAAACGAAACGACACCACCCGATGTCCGACCCAGCGACGGTGCAAGTTCAGGCACTTGCCCACCTGCAACAGCCCACGAAACACCTACGACACCACCCCACCTACGAATCACCTGCGACACAGCGTGTCGTATGCGAGCTGGTGTCGATTGACTCTTGGTCGATATCGTGCGGGGGGAAGCCGCAGCATTTCACTTGATGGCGCCACCGTGGTCCGCAGCAGGGCGGTCAGCTCCAGTCCAGCGTCCCCCGTCTCGTAGGGGGGGGGGGAGCGAACGTCGCATGGCAGGCAAGTTCGTCAGCGGCTATATACCATCGGAGCGGTCCCGCGCTGCCGGCGACACAGCAAGGCAATCTCATCGCGCGGCGAACAGCGGCCACGGCGCCCTTGTCGAAGTCGTCGATGTCGACCCTCGTTGATGTCGTAGATGCCGTGGGCTGGTGGGCATAAAGGGGGAGCAGAAGACGAGTTGGAAGAGTTAAAGGAGAAGGAGGAGGAGGAAGAGGAGGAAGAGGAGGAAGAGGAGGAGGAAGAGGAGGACAAGGATGAGGTCGTTATCACTGTCTGACGGGGGTGGTTGGGACGGGGGCGGGTCGTAGGAGGGGAGTACCTTGTCGACGCCTGCCCGCGTGGGCTGCTCAACCTCCCGAACCTCCTTCGCACCGCCTCTTCTCACTTAGCCGGCCGCGGTGGCACGCGCTGCATATTTGACGAATCGCACGCTTCCTGGTTTTAAATCATAGAAGCTGATAGCTATACAAGGTGAGGGGGCCCGACGGTCATTCATTGTCTCCGGGTGCGCGGCTGAAGTAGGGATCCGTGGTGAGGGTTATGCTTGCTGCGTTGCTTTTGTTATTGTCGTTGTTGCAAGTGTTGTTGCTACAGCTGTTGCTGCTGCTGTTGTTGTTGTTGTGGTTGTGGTTGTGGTTGTGGTTGTGGTTGTGGTTGTGGTTGATGTTGTGGTTGTTGTTGCGGATGTTGTTGTTGTTGTCGTTGTCGTTGTCGTTGTCACTGTCGTTGTTATTGTTATTATGATTGTTCTTGTTATTGTTATTTTTTATTGTTATTGTTATTGTTGTTGTTGTTGTCGTCGTTGTTGTTGTTGTTGTTGTTGTTGTTGTTGTTGTTGAATTTTCATTTCTGAAGAATAATTACTGTTGGTCCCCCCACCGGTGCATAAGGTTTTTTTCTCAATCAAAGTGTGCCCCTCGATGCTTGCACCCTGGTTTTTGACAGGGAAAGTCTTGATGTTCAAACTAGGCCCTTGGCCCCCGGGTTACAACAACAACGGCTCCCGCCTGAGACTTCTTACAATTTAGCCAGGACCCCCGCTGCCGCCCGAGACCTCCTCGCAGTTTATTCAGGAATCGCGCTCTCGCTTGGGAGTTCTTTACAATTTATTCTGGAATCGCTCTCCCTGCGCTCTGGCGTCGCGCTCTCGCTGGAAACTTGCTTCCAACTTACTGAAAAATGGCCTTGCGTTGTGATTTCTTGCAATTTGCCCAAGCGCCGCGCTCCCGACACCCAGGCACCCAGGAGTCGCGCCCGTTGTGGCCCCATGTGCATGCCCTTCGTGGCCCCGCTGTCGCCATTTGTGTCCCCCTCACTGTCCTACGTGGCCCAGTTGCTACCCTCAGTGGCCCCATAGTTGCCTTCTGCGGCCCCGCATTATCTGCATTTCGTGGCCCCCGCTCGTTCGCGCTCTCCGTGGCCCCATACGCATTCCCTTCGTGTCCCCGTTGTCGCCCTTCGTGGCCTACTTCGTGCCCTTCGTGGCCCTGCTGTCGTTCTCTTTCGCTCTCGCTTTCGCTCGTCGTCGCCGTCGTCGTCGTCGCCACCGTCGTCTTCGACGTCGTCGTCGTCGTCGTCGTCTTCGTCGTCGTCGTCGTCGTGGTCGGTCCCCTGTCCGTCCTTTTTGGGGTCGGGTCGACGGTCCGCGGCCGCCCCGCCGATCAGCGCTGCCGCTGGCCAGGCCGACGGTCCGCGGCCGCCCCGCCGATTGCCGGTGCCCGGCCTGCAGGGAAGAACAGTATACCCCCAAAAGGGGTCCGATCGAAGACGAAGAGGGCGGGTATCGAGGGTCTGGGAAATACGTGCTATTGGGAACTCGAACATACAAGGGCGAACAACTTTAAACTTGTTGTTGTTGCTGTTGTTGTTGTTGTTGTTGTTGTTGTTGTTATTATTCGTATTGTTGTTGTTGTTGCGACCCCATGCGCGACCCACCCGCGCCACCACGCGCGACCCTCACGCGACCGACCCACATTGGTTTAACGAAAAAATCGGCGTCAGCGGCGGGCTCTCTGTATGATTTGTGGAAATGTTGGCGCCCGCGGCGGGCTTCTCCAAAGTCTCGCAGACTGCCGACGTCCCCACCGCTCCCTCACTCTTACCCGCATATGCGGGGTGCTGCGTATTATGTCTGGTCAACGGAACAAAGGAGGATAAAATGGAAGAGAAAGAAGTTGGTAGACAAAGAAAACGAAGAAACGCGCGGAAGAGGAGCGACAATATCTTCCGTCACTCCAGGCCTCATAGCATGGAGTGCGGTGGCCAGGCGTTTTTGGCCCGCTGCGAGACCGGAGTGCAGTATCCCCAAACAGGGTGCTTAAACCCACTGCGGTTTCCAAGGTCGATCGCGTGCCCGTCCAGTGCGGGCTGGCATGGCATGCTAGAACATGATAACATGATGATTGCACATGAGATGTTTACACGAAAACTTGTGTGACGCATGCCTATCAAGAAGCTAACGCTAGAGGGTGTCGTAAACTCTCTCACCTGGTCGACGAGTAAGCTGTCGGGTGAGCACTGTGAGAAGCTCCGCCGCCATGCTGTGAAGTCGGAAGCAACTGTAAGAGGAAGCGGGGGAGGGCGCGGAAACGGGGGGGCATGTCGTGATGGTTCCCCCGGGGATGATATCGAGAGGTACGCGGCGCACGTCTCAAAAGAAAAATCGTGACGTCGGATGTCTGGGGAGTGCGGAAGGCAGGGCGCGCATGACGGATGCTGAGGCGGCAGAAACGACGACGGCGGGGACGGGGAGTTGGAGGCAAAGGCGCAGCAGCGGGAGGCGGGGGGCGGGAGGAGGGAGGAGGGAAGAGGAGCCAGGCGGGAAGCTGGAAGAGGGAGGCGGGAGAAGGAATGAGAGAGGTTGTGATTAGAGCCCCTGTGCTACGAAACGTCTCAGGCAAAACGGGTCAGACCATCTAGCGCGCAACATCTCCGAGCTTCGCATTGTGAGGATGGCTCAAGCGAAACAGGCCGGACCACCTCGCGAGCGACATCTTGGAGCTTAGTATTGCAAGGATGTCTCAAACGAAACGGGCCGGACAACCTCTCGCACACGTTCTGACAAGTCCACGTCACACTCGCTTCCCGTTAGGTCCTCTCCTGCAACTCCCTTCCTTCTCCCTGCTCCTCCTGCTCCT